AGTTCTGATTTTCCCATTCTCTAATATTGCTTGTATATAGAAAAAAAAAAATGTACATGTATATCCAATAGTGATAATTTTAATACAATCTCAAAAGGTATCTTAATAAATAAATTTTGGATTGGATAAAAATAACTTCATTATAATACAATCCTTTACATTTTTATGGGACAACTTATTTTGTTTAAAAGTTGGGATAACATAACCTGAACTCTAAACTCGGGACTCCAAACCCTAGATATGGGACTTCAGCCTCGGAGTTCTTCGGACGTGGAAATCAAACGCGAGGAGATAATATCATTGAATCGGTTCAAAATTTTAAATTCTATTTCAAGTCGTGTGATACAAAAACGATCATATCATTCAATCTATGAATGACAATGCAATCTAATCATATGCGTTAAACCATAGGACCATATTTTGGCATTCTTATCCTCCACCCGATGTACATGTCATGATCTGTAGGACTGATGGGCCATTTCGATATGTTATAATGTCCAAGGGGTTGGGTTTTGCTTGCAATTTTGCCCTAGGAATAGGGTTTTTTTTTTGGTCAACCCTAAGAATAGGGTATTTACTCATGATAAAGAAAAGAGAATAAAAGAAAAACTAAAATAAACTATTTACATTTTAAAAATAAAAAAATAAAAAATTGGGCTCATTCTTCAGACTTGAAAGAACAAATTTGGCCCATTGGCTGCACCGCGGAGGTTATTGCCCTTCTTTCTGACCACTTCTGAGCTTTTCCTTCCATATCCACTGAAATCTTAAACCCTTAAACCCAAGCCACTCTATTACCAGAGACAAAGAGCGCCAATGAAGCTTAGTTGTATGAGCAAGCTCATATCCTTTTCCCTTCAAAACCCTCGCAGAAATTATGGTGCTTTACCTTCACTCCGCCCTTCTAAAACCCCAAACCAACCTTCTCTATCTTCTTCTTCTTCTTCTTCTTCTTCTTCATCCGCTACTCTCCACGATCGCATCAAGGTCATCAGAGACCCAAAAGCCTCGGTTCTACCAGTGCTCGAACAGTGGGTTACTGAAGGTGGAGCTGTTGAGAAGCAAGAGCTTCAGTCACTGGTTCGACTCTTGAAGGACTTCAGACGCTTCAATCACGCTCTTGAGGTTCAAATCTTTCTTACCCACTTCACAGTTTCTTTCCTTCTTTTATTTTCGTTCTTGCAACTCTTATATATATATATATATATATATATATATATGTTTCTATAGGTCAATTCATCCAGTTATCAAAACGATTGGAATATATTATCTTTTATTTATAAACCTATGCAGTTGGGTTGGTATTTTGTTAATTTCATCAGTTGCGTGTGAGCGTTGTGTTATTCAGGTGTCTGCAATGTATTATCGATAATCTGAAATTTAAATGTATGAACTGTTGACCATTTTAAAAGCACAAGATCCAAGCCTTGCTCTGTTTTTTACATTTCTTGCTTTGAATTTACCAATTTGCTGATTCACGTGGTTCGAAGTTGGTGAACTGGGTGATGCAAATGATAAATTGCAGCACCACCAAATTTCCCTGCAAAGATTTTCTAGGAAACTGTTATTGGCACTTTAAAAAAACTCATCATGTACTCCTCCTGTATGAGAACATAAGGGAAAAATTCAACTGCAAGGAGTGTAGGGTGGCTATTTTGGAGTGCCAATAACAGCTCCCCTTTTCTAATATATTGTATTTTTTTCCTCTCTATATGAAAGGAAATATCAGTTACCTTCATTTACCGAAAATGTTTAAATGTGGTATCATGGCATATCATTGGCGGTTAAAGATTTTTGTATGATCCAATTCATCTCGTATATTATTGGTTCATTCATTTTACAATTCAGCATTTACCAGCATGGAGGGGTTGTTTAGGCATTTTACGAGGACATTCATTGAATTGTTGGTATGGCCTCTGTCTTATGGTGAGTGATTGTTGTAGTGAATTGTAATTAGATGAACCGGGTCGGTGTGACAAAGATTAATTCCAACCTTAATAAAAATGTGTTTAGACTGCCAGCTTCTAATTATTCTGTGTCATCCTTTTGTTATGTCATCCTTTTGTTATTTAGATATCCCAGTGGATGACGGATCGCAGGTATTTTGATTTATCACCAAGTGATGCTGCGGCTAGATTGAACTTAATCCACAGAGTGCATGGACTAGAGCATGCAGAAAAGTACTTCAACAATATGTCAAAGAGTTTAAAATCAGTTAATGCATATGGTGCTCTTCTCAGCATTTATGTGCAAGAGCATTCGGTTGAGAAAGCAGAAGCCACTATGCAGAAAATGAAAAAGATGGGTATGGCAAAGACATCATTCCCTTACAATATGTTGATCAATCTTTACTCTCAAAATGGAGAACATGAGAAGATTAACATACTGATGCAAGAAATGGAAGAGAATGGAATTCCTCCCGACAAGTACACTTTGAGAAATCGAATGATTGCATACATTGCAGCATCTGACATGCCTGGGATGGAAACTATCCTGAATAGGATGGAGGAAGATGCAAACTTCATTGTTGACTGGAAAATATATTCAATGGCAGCAAGTGGGTATCTAAAAGTCGGGATGATAAAAAAGGCTTGTTCAATGCTGAAAATGATGGAGGGAATGATGCCTCTCCAAGGGAGGAAATCATTAGAATTTCTTATCACTCTTTATGCAAATACTGGCCATAAAGAGGAGCTATACAGAGTTTGGAATACATACAAGCCATCAAATGAACCAATGGATGTACCATATGGTTGCATGATCTCATCTTTGGCAAAGCTTGATGATATTGAGGGGGCTGAGAGGATATTTGAGGAGTGGGAGTCACAATGCACAGGGTATTATGACTTTCGGGTGTTGAACAGGCTTCTTGTTGCGTATTGCAAAAAGGGTCTTTTTGATAAGGCAGAATCAGCTGTAAAGAAGGCTGGGGAAGGAAGAATCCCTTATGCTAGCACATGGAATGCGTTAGCAATAGGTTATACGGAAAGTAAGCAAATGCCTAAAGCAATTGAAACATTGAAGAAGGCACTGTCAGTCGATAGGCAGGGCTGGGTGCCTGATTACAGTACTCTGACAGCATGTTTGGATTATTTGGAAGGGCAAGGAGATTTTGAAGGAATTGAAGAGATCATAAGTTTACTAAAGAACTTGGGTCCTTTGTCCAGGGATTTGTATCACAGACTGCTGAGGGCTAGTGCTGCATCTGGAAAATCAGTTTCTATAATTCTTGATCAGATGAAAATGGATGGTTTTACTGCTGATGAAGAAGCATACAAGTTTCTTGAAACAGGGCCAAGTTAGCCTATTGTAACTCCTTTCATTGTGAGAGAATTAAGCACGCCTCAAAAGATTTGAGAGAACTTAAAATTCCAGAGAGCCATCATTGAACAACTTGGGTTGGCCTTTTCTTCTTGCTAGATCTTACATCTGCATCAAGTTCAAGAAGGCATCATCCAGTTGCAGATCATCAAGTAATGTCATCAAACCATTTTGAAATTTTGACTGAGATGGGATACTAATACTATGTACTTGGTCTCACAATTGTCAGTGATTAAAAATTTACAATTGCCAGTATTTTGTTGTAGTTTTTGTATTGCATATATGTTGAACTCTAATCTGTCCTTCGTATTTTCTATACAAACTACAATAGGTTATCCTGTAGAAAATGATTTCCTTACATCGTAGCTGCAAATGACTTACAAAGAGCCTCAGCGATAACTACCTTGCTTTGTATTTTTCTACTGAATTTTGATGGGTTGAATTTCACTTTCGAAGTTTTCTTGTTGAAGTTTTCTTAACTGGCTATTATTATGTGCTTCCACCTAAAATTACATACAGTGATTCTTGACTTCGCCTCCCCTTTTTCTTCAGCCTCATCTCACCTTTGAACTCTTGTTTTCTAGTTCATAAATTAAAATGAAAACCCTCTTTTTCCTTGCAGCATTCTCTGTTTCAGTGAAGGAAAAAAAAATTCTAATCCAACCCTAAAAGCTGATTTATTGTGTTTACCGAATAGATTAGGGCTCCTGGTTTTTGCTTTTCTTTTTCCCCTCTTCTTGTTAGTTTCAAACAACTTAGGCACCTTGACAGAAAGAAAAGAAAAGAAAAAACCTTAGGCACAAATCAATCGTATAGCATGTTCTCTGTTCAGGCGAGCAGTACGTTTCAATGAAATAAGAAATCTAAAAAGCGCCTGATTTGAGTACCAACATGGTGTCGCTGCTGGTCGGAAACCTTTTTTTGAGAAAGATCTACATTTCGTTAACCCAGTTGGGATCACAGCATGTAACACTGTGGCCTCATTAAAATCTTCCTGAAGAAAACCATATGAGATAAAACTTCTGAGCAAGAAAGAGTGCCACACATGCCAGAGTACAAGAAGATATCATGAAAAATGAGTACAATCATTCTGAATACAATCTAAAAGCCATAGCAGACCCGATTCCATCCACTATGAGAGAACTTAAATGTTTCATAAACTCAATTGTAAACTTGCATACACATCAGAAATTGTGTCAATTACAACCAAAGCTTTTATTCAAACATAAACAAATACAAACAGACTTTCCAAACGTTCTGAGAAAAGTAACAATGCAGTGCAGACTGCCTACACAGGCCTCTGGTAAGTCAAAATGGAAATAATTGTTTGTATGAAAGTCAAAATTGTAACAGCTACAACAGCATAAGCAAAATTGAGAAATGATAATGGATCTTCAAGAATACGTCTGTAAGGAGCAAGAAGCCTTGTAAAAGGATGCAGATAATGTGCGTTAACTTTCTTATAGAGTTTTGCGTAAGAAAAGTTGTAGACTCTAACATCACTGGTGAGATTACTCATGAGCAAGGGTATGTCGCAGCCCGAAAAGTTTACTATAATTCCACTCTCAGTGAGAAACTCAAATTGTGTCAATTACAACCAAAGCTTTTATTCAAACATAAACAAATACAAACAGACTTTCCAAACGTTCTGAGAAAAGTAGCAATGCAGTGCAGACTGCCTACGGAGACTTGAAGTAAGCCAAAATGGAAAAAAATGTTTGTACGAAAGTCAAAATTGTAACAACTACAACAGCATAAGTAAAATTGAAAAATGCTAATGGATCTTCAAAAATACGTATGTAAAGCGCAAGAAGCCTTGTAAAACGATGCAGATAATGTGCGTTAACTTTCTTATAAAGCTTTGCGTAAGAAAAGTTGTAGACTCTAACATCACTGGTGAGATTACTCATGAACAAGGGTATGTCGCAGCCCGAAAAGTTTACTATAATTCCACGCTCAGTGAGAAACTTTACATCGTCCTCACATTTAATAAGGTTTTCCAACACCACAGCATAAGAGGTAAATTTACTTATACCGATTGGTTCACACTGTTCATAAGCGATGATATTTCTAAACAGAGATTCTCCATTCCCATGAATTCTTATGGGTGGAATTTTCATGACATTATTTTCGTAGATTATGTTGAGCATGTCGTCTTTTTTCCCACATCTGAATATGACTCCTGCTTTTTTAAGATTTGTCGCAGAGGGAATCGGAGACCAATCTGAGTGCTCAAACTCTGTTTTTTCCGCATATGATCCAAGTAAAGAGTTTTTTATGAAGTGAAGTAAATGTTTGTTTACAAATGTTCCGTTGACCTTTGGATCCATACCCAAGGTAGACTCTTTAAAGTATCGTAGAGTAAGCACAGGAAGTGAAAGAGAAAGAGGATAGTTATTACCTGCAGTAGTGGCCTGAGTGAGGTTAAATAAACATTCAACAACCCTCCAAGGAAGCTGGTTTTCAAGTAGAAGCAAGTCATGTATAAGCGTCGTGCGCATCCATGACTTATGGATCACAGGATCGTCGACCTCTATTGGCACCTGAGCTGAAAACTTTCGGAAGAGTTCAATGATAAAGCAACCATCAACCACCAGCATTTCTACAAATTCATCACTGAGCATATCAATGTGTTCTTCATAGCAATTGCGACAATCTTGTTCCATACCTCTAATGGCTTTAACAAAGTACACTAAACCACTATTGGGAGTTGGATTACGCTCAAGGAGGCAATGCAAATACCTTAGTTTAACTCCTTCCATGGTTTCTAAGCCCAATCCACGGTGAAATGGTCCAATTGAAAGTAAATTTGGAACATAAATTTTTTCATTACCATTAAGCAGCACATTAGGGATTCGAAATATGGAATGATGAGCACATAATGGAGACTGCCGGTGAAGTTTTCCATGAATAGAGGATGCTAATAATTCATCATTTGTCGCATTATTTGCTGCCATCTCAGGTCAATTGAAATCTGCTTTTAATAGAGGAAAATGAAAATGGTTAAAACTAAATGCAGTAAACTTATTTAAAATCAAACTGAAACAATCTCTCTCTAGCTCAACTGTGCTATATGCAACACCTCTTCATATTACTTTTAAGTTTAACAAAAGGATTGGGATCGTTGTTTTTGGATCATTTTCTATTTTGGGATAATAATGAAATCATGATTATAACTATTATTATACATGTTCTTTGATGAGTTTGCTAGAAGAGTTCAAATTTCTTACTTTTCAACCACAAATCAATTTTATTTAGAAAGTAAATTTCACTCTTACAGAGAGAGGGTGAGTAAGAGCGAGCCTACACAGTTCTGATTCACACATCACATACATATGCAACAGATAATTGAAAAGAGGAAAGATAACAAGAACATGTTTCGAAACGGGGTTGTATAAATTTTTGTAGGAGAAACTTACAGAAAGATGGTTGAATATTGATGCAATTCTCCTTGCAAGGTTCTCGCTTGAGTTTACAAATATCTCAATTAACTCATGCATATATATATATGCAGATGCTTATTTTGAATGGAAGAAACTTAAGGGAATGGGAGAATTGGTCGACCATCTTATAATGTGAAAGGAATCACATGCATGCTAATTAAACTATGCCCAAGTCTTTTTTTATTTTTCTCTTATTCAGGAGAGATCCACAGAGTTGAAAGAGCCAAGTATACAAAAAGACTTGCAATTAAACTATGCATGTTAATTGTAAGTCTTTTCTCTCTCTCAAAAAGACTTACAAATTGACTATGTTTATTTAATGCGTTTGCCAAATGTTTTGTTATATTAGTTGCCTGGGGTCATCTGTATCACCTTCACCAGGGACGGACCGTCCCTTTCGTTAACATGGCCTTATAGCCCAGGCGGTTTCTTTTTTTTTCTTTTTTTTTAATATAGTATAAAATAACAAACCAAGCACACCTACCCCAAGTTCCAGTCAATATAAATGGACCTTAGCTGTGCGTTGACTTACAGAAACAATGAACTTTTTTGTTTTGAGAACAGAGAAACAATTAACCTTAAAAAAAAATTAATTAAAAACAACATTTACCCATCAAATTTTTGTTTAAATTAAAACCACACCCCCTTGCGCAATATTGTAACAATTAATAACATCAAAAAGAATTTTGAGACAAAGAAACAAGTAATACATCAGCTCCAACAAAAAAAAAAGAAGTAATAAATGTTATTTTTTTTAGAGGTAATAAATGTTATCTTTTATCTCCTTATACCATTTATGAATCAAAATTTTGCTTCCCAAATTTGAATTTTTTTTAAAAGTTAAATGTTCAAGAAAATAAATTACGATGATATAAACTAAAATTAAGTTAAGAAAAAATTAAACATAAAATTATTTTAGAGTTAAATCATTTTTAAACAATTAATAAAGTTGAGTATGAGATATACATGAATAGTTCTATTTTAGGTTGGGAATTTGGGTTTGAGTTATCTAGCATTAGAGATGGACTTAATAGGTTTATACGCAAGGTAAATTTAGCCTACCCCATTTTGAAATCTTGACCTTCACTCTTTTCTTTTCTTTTCTTTTTCCTATCTTTGGTCCCTGTTTGGTTAGGTTGGTGTTGGCCTCTTCGTTTTCTTTCTAGCCTCTTGGCAGTTTCCACGAAGCATCTATTGACCCAAAAAAAGGGCATGTGATTCCGGAAAAAAGAAGAAGAGGGTATTGTGGTTTCTTTTTGCGTTTCTGCAGAATAATACAAGATGATCAAATGCCGGAGAAACTGTTGTAGACACTATGGTTGTGCGGCATGCTGACCTTACACTCCTACACAATTATAACTAGAGCTGGCAAACGGGTCGTTTTAGCGGGTTTCGGGTCGTTAACGGGTCAACCCGTTTTCTTAATGGGTTGACACGAACAAAATCTTTTTTTTTTTTTTTTTTGAGTACTTCATAAAATCACTTAAAACTACTTAAAAGTGATTATATGAACAAGTGATTCTCCATATAACTGATTATTAGACTATTCAAAATCACTTCCAAAGAGACCTTAGATTTCATTCGTCAACTAACTTTCTTTGTCTAATATTTTCTCTAATATTCTTTTCTTCTTGGTATCAGACTGGGCACAAATTATTGGGCCTTTACCCAACACGCGGTATTAACAATTAGTACAGAATTACAAATTGGTCAACGTATAAACCCTATCCTAAATAGGACTCACGTTAACACTCCCCCTCAAATTGGTGAATAGATACCTTAAATGCCCAACTTGTCAAGTGAGTCATAATACACCTTACTTGAAACTGCTTTAGTCATAATATCGGTTAGTTGATTCTTAGAATTCACAAAAGGCATGGTCACTAATTCAGCCTCTGACTTCTCCTTAATAAAGTGTCGATCCACTTCAACGTGTTTTGTACAGTCATGTTGGACTGGATTGTGAGCAACATTCATGGTCGCTTTATCATCGCAAAATAATGTCATTGCAAGTTTAGGAGCAAAACCGAGTTCGGTCAATAACATACGTAACCAAAGAAGTTCACACAAATCATGCACCATCCCTCTATACTCGGCTTCAGTAGTAGACTAAGCAACAACCTCATGCTTATTGCTCCTTCATGTAACAAGATTACCATCCATCAAATTGAAGTAACCTGATGTAGACCGCTTGTCTGTAATAATCCCAACTCAATCTGCATCAATGTACCCGTCTACATTCAAATGGCCGTGTCTTAGGAATAGCAAGCCTTTCCCTAGAGCAGACTTCAAGTATCTCAGAATCCGAACTACAACTAGACAATAGGTGTGTCGGCCGATTTACATCCAAATCATTCATGTCTGAGTTAACATGTCCATAATATATTTCCTTTGTGACTAGAATATAACATGTTTAGAACGAGCAACCCGCCAAGATCTTTCATCTCAAACTCAGAAGCCGAATATTCATTCAGTTTCTGAATTTCTTCTTTATCATCCCCTGTGACAATCATATCGTCCACATAGGTATTACACATCTCTCTTGAAGATGCTCTTAGAGCTTAAAAGATTCAATCGAAGCTCTAAATAGGACTTCATACACCATTTTTAGAGCCCACTATTGGGCTTGCTCTTAGAGCATCTCCAAGGATATAGGCAAACGAAGTAGGCAAAAGTGTAGTATACAGACTAATATGGCATGCTACCTATTCAGTTGCCTCTTGAAAAAAGCTGCTCATTCTAATTAGAGGTGTCAAACGGGTCATGTCGTGTCGTGCCAGCCCGACCCATTTAAATACATGCCACTAAGTTATTTGGGCAATGTCGGGCCAGCCCATTTAATTAATTGGGGCGTGTTTGACAGGACTCGACCCAAATTCCACTTTGGAATCTGTGCCGAATCCTGTGCGCGTTCGACACCTGGCAGGTGTTGGCACACTTGACCAATTTACCCCTCTAACCTTGATTCAAAATTCTTTTAAGGTTTGACTTCTGTAGAAAATTTGGCAAAGTTTCCCCTCTAATTCGCTCGTTTTCCCAAAATTTTCACCTGTATAAAACACAATTCAATAATCCCAACATTCAGCATACAAGAATTTTATCCATACTTAATTCAACAATGGTTCACAACATAAACAAAACACTGGCATTCACCTTGCTATAAATGAGAATTAGCGGTAATCCATATTTTGCTCAATTACAATAGATTTCAACTAAACCAATTCAAAGCACAAATCAACAGTTTATTTTGCAACTGCACCTAGGTTAACTTAGGTTGCCTACGTAACCTTACCAAGGGATCAAGCCACACTTAGTTCTTTCTTACTTCACTCACCAAAAGCTTCAACTCTACTTAAACCTCAGAAATCGTATCAAAGATTTTGATTTAAGAATAATCGTCCACCCAATCATATATGCGCATAAACAACACTGATATGTGTGAAAATGAGAAAGTTATTAAAATAACTTCGGATCACAAGAAATCTTAATATCACTGTCAACGGTTTGAATAAAACATACTTCTATATTCCACATATAATAAAAGACTCATCATTTAAGAGATTAAGTATAAACTACAGAAAATCCTTAAAACTTGGAAACCTTCAATCCTTGCCTCAAAAATCAAAAAATAGGGATTAAACTCTTACTCCAAAAATACCAAGATAAAATCATCAATATTAGTTAAACATCTTAAAACCCAAATACTATCCACCTAAGCGTACCCCAATTCATATTCCGTCAATTCCAATAGTATACCGTTAATTCCAAGTACCCTAACTGTTACATCATCGCAGGCCTTGGAAACACAAAGTCAAACCAAGCTACAATCCTCGCAAGACTCAGGAGACACTTAGTCAACCTGAACCGCATTCCTCGCAGAATTTGGGGGATAAGTAGTCATCCCAAGAATGCACATCCTCGCACCACACGGTTCAGGCGCCCCCGAAACTCGTGGGACAATGTCATAAATGACAAAACTGTTTTAAAGGCAACTGGGGGGTACTCCTGAGGTGGGTTTGAAAACCATATTCTGAAACTTATCATAAAATTGGCAGGTGCCAAAAACACTTGACCAATTGCACTTCTAACAAAATTCAAATTTCCTTTAGGGTTTGAACTCTGCCAAAAAAAAAAATCAGCAGAGTCTCCCTTATAAGTTGCTTATTTCCCAAAATTTACGCCTGCATGAAAAGCAATTTATAACCCAACCGTTCAGCATCCATCAAGTTTGAATTCAAGCAAACCAACAACAGAATTCTATGGCCTCATGCCTTACAGCAATCCTAGGGCAATTTCAGAGCAATTCTAATATATTTAATTTACAAGGATAGAAAGAACGCAGCAGAATATCCTACAAGGTGGAAAAGGATGAAAAATGATGATAATCGCCCGGTGGTGGTGCTCTAGTACACGTCTACTGCCTGGGGGAGAAAAACATTTAAAATGTGAGTGGACAAAAATAAAGTTTTGGAAATAGAATATTAACATACTAACCCCACTGTTAAAAACCAATT